CGCTGCTTGGCAAAATCTGGAGGCCTTTTTAGGTGTCACAACTCGGGGGTGGGAGGATGCTCCTGGATACCAGAGTGTAGAGGGTGGAGGCGAAGGATGCTTAAAAGTCCAGGCCTCCTCCCAAAGAATGAATGACACAGCCCCAATGTCAGGAACGCCATGGCTAGGAGACCCTGTCCTGGGCCCCAAGCCTGTCTGCCTCACCTCCCTGACCCCAGATAGGACCACCCACCTGGCTTCCTGGTCTGCCTGGTATTTTTAGCCTTGGAGGGAAAGGCCCTGGCTGTTTTTAGTTTTGGGGAGCAGGGGAACAAGGCTATTTTTAGCCTGAGCATCTAATTATTGCAACTTTTATCTTTCCCAAATTTTGGATTTGGGGGAGGATGGTGTGGGAGGAGGTGGCGCAGTAGTAAAGAGCCCAGCTGCCTATGCAGGAGACGCGGGTTCAATCCCCAGGTCTGGAAGATCCCCTGGAGGAGGGCATGACAACCCATTCCAGTATCCTTGTCTGGAAAACCCCATGGACAGAGGAGCCCGGCGGGCCACAGTCCATGAGGTCGCAAAGGACCGGACATGACTGAGCGACTGAGCACTGAGCTGAGGTGGGCGGCAGATGGGGCTTTTGCTTGGCTGATTTCCTAGGATCTGAAACAAGGGTGGGGGGGTCCCATCATCCTATGAGAGTCTGAGTCAGTGTCCCCCTGGATCAAAGCTGCTCAGGCCTTGACCGTGACACTCCTACCCCCAGCAAGGGCGGGGGCCCCCACATGACCCTCTGGGCTCTAAACCCTATATGCACACTGCCCCATGCCTGCCCACAGGGACACCCTCACACACTGGGCACCCATGAGGCCCTCTCAGGGAGCTGCCTCACAAGTGCGTGCATGGGACAGGTGCCGAGCTGGCCTGGTCTGGCCCCTGGTGGGTAGTCCTGGCTTCCCCAAGAGGACCAGGGTCTACAGGGACCCCTCAATGTGCAAAGCCAGGAAAGGGGAGTCCCTTGGGGCCTCTGTCCTTTGAGAGGTGCCCCCCTCCTCCATTCACTCAGCTAAGAGTTCTCAAGTGCCTACTGTGGGCCCGGCCTGAGTCTAGGCACCTGGCGTCTAAAAGCAAACCAGGAACAAATTCCCCAAGAGCTTGGGTCCTGGTCAGGGAATACAGACAATAAACCAACAAACACAATAAAGCAGTAAATTACAGAATGTGCGAAAAGTCATTCTTGCTAGGGAAAAGTCAGGAGGCAGGTGGGGAGGCTGCAATTTTAAACAAGTTGCATGGGGTAAATAAAGGTTACTGAGGAGGGGACATCCGATGTGGGTGAGGGAGCAAAAGCTTTGCATGTGTCAGGGGAGGGGCCTGGGGGAAGGAGCCACCAGTGCAAAGGGCCTGTGGTTGAACTGCGTGCCTAGGAGCAGTGAGGAGAGAGGGGGCGAGGTGGAAGGGGTGACAGGGAAGATCACGAAGGTCTGGACCCTGGGACACCCCATGCTCGGGGTGCCAAGATGAAGGGGCTGCCCCTCCCCAGCTGGGACTCTGGGCGTTCTGGATGGGGAGATATATGCCTTTTCCCCAAATCTTATGACAGAAGCCCCTTGACTGAAACTGCTCCCGTCACTAGACTGTGAGCTCCCTGAGGACAGGACTGGGGTACTGTCCCCATGGCGTCCCTGGCACAGCGCCGAGTGAAAAAGACACTTAGCAAATATTCACGGGTTTCATGAAGAGGTCTGCCCAGCTTTGCTCCCAGGAGCCACACATGCACACACTTGCAGGTGCACACAAGATGCAGACAGCTCCTGACACATGGAAACACACACACATCCCCTCTGCAAAACTCACAAACACTAGCACCCAGGAGACTGTTATGAACACGGGACCAGCCTGTCGGACACATGGCCACATGCAAGCTAGTCCAGGTTACCATCCTAATCACAGCACAAGTACCACAGGTCACAGCAGCCTGGATTCTCAGGGCAGTGGGACCCGCTCCCAGGACTCTGTTCCGCAGCCTCCCCTCCCACCTGGGACCCCGCTTCCTCTTTCATCAGGGTGGCTGAGCCCAGGGCTGGGAGGGGCGCTGGTGCAGTCAGGTACAGTTCCGGACCCAGGGAACTCCCATCTCTGGAGCATCATCCCCTCCTCACCTCCCTGGAGGGTCTGGAGGAGGGGAACTGTCTGGCGTCTGGAAACTGAATCCTTGTGAGGAGCCCACACAGAAATCAGAGCCTTCTGTGTGTCCTTGGTCACACGTCTGGGTCTGGCTGGAGAGGTAGGAGGGGGCAGTGACTGACAACTTCAGCTCCCTGTGGCCAGCAGGGGCTGGGACGGGGACAGCGGGGAGACCGCTCCTCCTGTTCTCCATCAGGGGCACCCCCTCTGGGGCCAGGCAGCACAGCCTCCTGGGGTTGGCACCCCCACCCCGATGCCCAGGCTGGGGCTGAAGCACCACGCTCTATCCTGTCAGCCTCCCACATGCAGGTGATGCCCAAGCCAGGACCAGACGGCTTGATGCAAACAGATTCCAGAGGGGCCATTCCCCCCCCCCAGCTCTCCCCCATGGCCCGCCTCCCAGGAGAAGGGGCTCCCCAGGGCAGGCTTGGAATAGAAACCAGGCTGCCAGTCTCCTGCCTTCCACCTCCTCCCTGCAGGCCCCACGGCCCAGGTGCAGCTGGTGCCCAGCTCCCTGCCCTCCCCCAAGCCTGGGCATCCTCTCCACGCCCAAGGGCAGCAATCAGGGGCTTGGGACGGGCGCCCCCAAGGAGAGCAGGAGTGACAAGCGTGGGTGAGCTGAGGCCCTGAGGGAGAGGAGGAAGAAGGTGGCAAGGCCAGTGGGGAGGCCGGGCACTCACATGTGAGCACACACGTATGTGGCTTGGTGCATGGGGGCCCTTGCTGCCAGCCAGGGATCGAATTAGTTCCCTTTTCCGCTTTCCAGATGATTTTTCATCTCTGTAATTAATGGGCAAGTCAGTTCTGAACGGCATGGCAGGCAAATTACTAGTTAGGAAAATCACGGATAATTTTCTCGATATGATAATGAAGGTTGTATTCCTTCTCTTATTCTCCCTGTTTTCATCCTACTTTTAAGTAATAAAATCGGCATTAGAATTTGGGGGTGGGGGAATGGGGAGGAAGGAGAAGTCACCTGCCCCCACAGCTGGGGCCTGACCCAGGCCCCGTGGAGAGTGCCCAGTCCCTGGCCACCAGGCAGATGGAGGGAATGAGAGATGGGGGCCCCTCCGTGGGACACCCTGATGACCCGTTCAGGGTGCCAGGCCTAGGAGACCAGGTGGAGGGCGGGCAGCTCCCAGGCTGTTAGGCCCGGGGGTGAAGGAGTTGGGGTCTGGGGTCAGGTTACAGGTTCCCGCCCGGCCCTTGGGTGCTTGGAGTGGGGAGCAGGGATCACCCGCCTGTCGCCCAAGCAGGATTGAGATCCACCAGCCATGAGCAGACATCTACTCTCAAGTGTCCCGCATATCTGTCCCCCAGACTGTCCAAACCCCTCTCATCGATGACTCCTGTAGCAGCGAAGAGAACAGGGCAAGCCGAGAGGGAGAGAGAGGCAGAGAACAAGAGAGAGGCGGAAAGGCAACCAGCCATCTTGGCAGCCATCTTGAACCCCTCCCCCCGCTCCCCACATGTTGGGATGTGGGCAGAGGAACCCAGGCCCCGGGTCCTGCAGGAACCAGGAGGAAAGGGGGCCCCGTCTCAAGGCTGCGATGGAGGGACACCCACTCAGCTGCCATGGCTGTGTGTGCGTGCGGGGGGCGGGGGTGGAGAGGTGGGGGAGGGAGGAGCGGACCGCGAGGAAGGGACAGTGAGGGGCCGGGCAGGGATGGGGCTGGGTGCTGACCGAGACTGGAAGGTTAGGGCCGGGGGTGTGTGTGAGGGCGGTGTGCTGGCGGGGGGCGGAGTGCCTGTGGGGCCACTTTTTGGCCACGGCGGGAGCACACACACAGCGCTGCCCAGGCTCTTCTGGCACCGACTCCCGTCCCAGGCAGATGGAAAGATGACAATTGAAACCCCAAGCTCTACTCGGCGAACACCTGGGAGAGTGGGAGCGCTGGCCCTCAAAGCCCGAATCCGGGTGGATGAAACCCAACAGCTTCCCAGGCTTAACCGGGTACCGCGGAGGGAAGATGCTGTCGACGGCTACAGCTCGCCAGACACCCAGACAGATCCCTCCCCATCCCCCGCGCCTCTGCCTCCCAGAGAAAAACAACCCCCCAGCCCGGCTTCGTGGGGTGCCAGCCCCCGACACGGCTCCTCCGGGAGCTGGGGCCGGCGCGCGGCGCGCACACGCACCCTCTCCGCTCACACCCAGACACCTACACAAACAGGGCGCCAAGCACCCGCGCGCACACGCACCGGGGACACGCAGGCACTGCCGCGCCGCTTCCCCACAAAGGCTGGCGCGCGCGCGGGCACACGCAGCCACGCGCGGGCACACTTGCGGTCCCCTCCCCCCACGGGCACCCCGCGGCCGCGCATCCGCACCCCGACAGTCGACGGGGGCTGCCCCTCCCGGCCCCCTCACCGGTGGGGTGAGGTGCAGGCCGCCCTCCATCCCCCTCGCGCTCAGGTGCTGTGACCCGCGGCTCCAGGATCCCCTCCCCCTTCCTGGCCCGGGCTCCCATCCTCCCTACCTCGGCCCCCACACCTGGCCCAGGTACGGCGTCCCCCTCGCCCGGGGTCCTCAGACACTCACCTGTGCAGCGCCGCTCCGGGGTCGGCCTTGCGCGTCTCTCCTGCGGCTCCGCGAACCCAGGACCCCCGCCCGGCACATCTCCCGGAGCCGGGATAGGGGGGAAATCGGGGGAGGGGTGGCGGGGCCCAGAACCGCTGTCACCAACCAAAAATTAAAAAAAAAAAAAAAAAAGAAGCGGATTACACAGCTCCAAAGGCGGCCCCCTCGCGGCAGCAGAGACTCGGGGCTGGGGGCGAGCGTCCGCGCCCCTCCCGGGGAGGGAGGCGGCGGAGGCGGCGGGGCGGGGGCGGCGTCAGAGCTCCGGGGGCTGGGGCGAGGCGGAGCCCCCCGAGGCGGCGCCAACAGCTGCCCGCATCTTCCCCGCAGCTCCGCGGCCCCGACGGAGGCGGCACGTGTGCGCCCAGGCGACTTCCCAGCCCCCTCCGACGGCGGTAGCCGAGGGGTTAACGGGGCAGCTAGGAAGCCCCTGCAGCCCCCCGCCGCCCGGCGGCGACGCTCCGGGGCCCACGCGGCCCCATTCGCCGGGGCCTCCTCGGCAGACGGCGGGGCGGGGGCGCCGCAGCGCCGACAACTCCCGCGCCGACGGCTCGGGCTCCCCGCAGTGGCCACGGGGGGCTCGGGTAGGGGGCGGGAGGCGCGGAGCTTGTTGGGGGGTGGCGCGGTTGTAGGCGGGCGCGGCAGCGTCGCGCCCCCGGGGTGGCCGGATGGGGGGGTGCCGGGCCGGGCCCGTGGGCACCGCAGGACGCGCGGACCGAGCGGGCGCCGGGCACCAGCAATGACAAGCCGCCTGCTCTCCCCTCTCCCCGGCGCACCCGCTCCGGGAGGGGGGCGGCGGGCACGCGCAAAACCCGGCCCGGAGCCGCCGCCCGGGACCGGCCGCTGCAACCTGCCCAAGCGCACCGGAGGCCGGTCCGAAAACCCGGGATGGACTTTCCTCCCCTTCGACCCCCACCTCTAGCCCTTATGGAAAAACCGGGAGAGGGAAGGAGATAGGCTGGATCCCCGCGTTGGAACGGGAAGTGGGGGAGGGGAGACAGGCTCGAGGAAGACCCGGAGCGGATTTTGCAGGTAGTGGAGTAAAGGCGCTTTGCCCGGTGAGGGGAGAAATGGGAGCGATCTGGAAGGGGTCTGCAAAACCCGGGTTGGATTAGACAGAGATGGGAGGAACGAAGGCAACTGCGACAGGGCCAAATGCACCCCGGGCACGCAAATTTCGGGCCGGATTCTTCCTCGGGAGACGGAGTAATGCGTCATGCCTAATGCAGTGGGAACAAGTAAGACCTGGCCTAGAGCTCCCAGACCTGGGCTCGCAGGGGGCTCCGGGAGGGGGCTATTTAGTGGCTGAAGCGGTGTGGACTGCCCTCGTCTTCCTGGCAGCGACGTGCAAGAAGGAGGGGCAAAAGGAGGGCTGGACTCGGGCACGAAAGGATCTGGAGCGCCGGCTGCACGAAGCAGGCAGGTAAAAGCGGTTTCAGGATCCAGGGACGATACGAAGGGAATGCAATGAGGAGGCCGCTACCCTGGGAGACCAGACCTACAATATAAGGCAAGGGAGGACCGCAAAGCCAGGACTGGAGTATACGGGATGGGACAAGACCCTAGCTAAAGATCTGTGGCAACTGGTCAAGGACTGGCAACTGACCGGGTCGCACCGGAGAGGGTGGGTGTTTGGGGGAGGTTAGTATCTATAAACGCCTCAAAGGTCTTGCTTTGGGTGGTGGTGGGAAGGCGACAAGAGAAAAAAATGAATTTTAGGTTTTCGGCAAGAGCAAAAACTCGATATGGATTTCCGCAGCTGAGCAACTATACTGCAGCTGGTGGACTTGAAGTAGGACAAGGAACCAGCGGGTTCCTAGGCATCTGGCCGAGTGAGGCCTGGGGCTGGCTTCATGCTGAAGCTGCAGAAGGGAGCCCCGCACCCCATCTCCCTGGCTGGGGAAAGCAGTCCGACTTGGCATGAATCCCTGGAGCCAGAGCTATGACTGCCAAGGCCCACAGTGGGGGCTATAAAACCGGGCCCCAGGCCAAAAATAGGCACTTTGGCAGAATAGACAGCTCAGTGCAGGGTGGGGGGCTGAGGAAAAACTAGAGGGGGGCGGGTACTAGAAGGTCCTGAGAGGTAAGATCCGGTGAGGATCTCGGGAGAGCGGACCTGGAAGCCTGGCGTTTTATGAAGGATGGGTGCAAGGGGAAGACTGATGGATGGGAAGGAGCAAACCCCTGGTTTGGATCCTCGGGGAAGGGAATCATCCAGTGGAGGTCTAATTAGCACACTGGCCAAAGTCCGGGCTGAATCTCTGGTAGACAGAGAGCAGGCAATAGTGGGGAGAGTGGGGCAGACAAGTCCGGACCTGGATTATAGAGGAAGGGGATGTGCTGAGGATGAGGAAGATGGCAAACCCTGGTCTCCATCTCCAAGGAAGAGAATGCATTGCCATTCCAACTTGGCTCTGCAGAATGGATGAGGAATTGGGAAACAGCGTGGAAGTAGCAGTGGAAAGGGTTGGGGTGATAAATAGACAAAACTTGGGGCAGGCTTAGAGGGGAACTATAAAAATCTAAGAAACCCTAAGAGGAACATCTGCAAATGAATGAACCCGTCCTCTAAGAATCCCTTCCCAGAAGCCTGAATTTAGGGAAAAGCAGAGACTCCCCAGGTGGTACAGTGGTAAAGAACCCACCTGCCAGTGCAGGAGATGCTAGAGATGCGAGTTGGATCCCTGGGTCAGGAAGATACCCTGGAGAAAGGAATGACAACCCACTCCAGTATTCTTGCCTGGAAAATTCCATGGACACAGTCATACAGTCCATGGGGTCGCAGAGCCGAACAGGACTGAGTTACTGAGCACGCAGAGAAGCCAGACTTCCATGCTGACCGGGTAACCAGGGGCTACCTCTATGGCCACCACCCTCCACCTGCTTCTGTGGGCGACCATCATTTCAGGACTGGGCAGGGATTCTCACAGCCTGGAACTGGGGCCAGATCCAGCCGGCAGACTTCAGGGGTGGAGACAGTAGGTGGGCTAACTTCATTCTGCCTTCACACCCAAGGTTCCGTGGTTGTAGACCTTGGGCCTTAAATATGGATGGCCAGGGCTATCGGCTGGATCTAAGGGACCAAATATGTATGAAGTGGAGGTTGGTGGCTGCGGAGGGGGTCCCATCCATCTATGGTTGGTGCAGTACCAGGATGGGAGAATGGGGGAGGTTCGGCTTCTCCACGCGTCAGTTTCCCACTTTGAAATATCTCCGCAGCACCTGGTAGGATCCATGAAAGGCTTTAGGGGTGCTGGGGAGAGGGGGTGGTACCACAGGGGGCAACCAGGAACCCTCCTCCCACATCCACACAGCCAGCCTTCTATAAACCTGGCAGGATTGAAAGGGGGAAAACGTGCAGCTCAGGGAAGGCTGAGCATCTCCAGAACCCCGTGGCTCCTAGTCCTCCCACCACCCCGCCGTCCAGCCCTGAGTAGCCCACCCTCCTGCTCTATGGAGGGACCCTCGGAACCAATGAATGTGCCTGGGGGACGGTACTAACTTGGGTTCTTCAGTCGCTATGAGAAGCGGTGTCTTTAATTTATACGAGGGAGAGGAATATCATGCTTTAAGGAACCCCCGACTCAGTTTGGAAAAATCCTAGCCAGGACCCCCCTCCCCCAAACCCTCCTCTTTTCCCCCAAAGCCCGTGGTCAGCAGAGCGCCCCGTGTTGTGGCCGGGATCGGTTTCACTAGCCTCCATTCTATCGCGGTTTTTAGGCCTCGCGGGCGAGGGGCTCAAGAGGCGAAGGATGAGTAGAGGCTGGGGGCGCGAAAGAGCCCCAGCGCTTCTCCCCGAAGACCCTCGGCTGCGCAGCCGCAGTGGAGGCCGCGCCAGCAGCCGGGCTCCAGAAACTAACGCGTCCGCGCGCGCGCAGTCTCGCCCCAGCTCCCGGCGCCCAGCACCGCGCGTGTCCGTACCCGCGCCCAGGACACCCTACTCCCAAGGCGCTTCTCTCTGCGCATCCTACCTGTGCCTCGGGATTCTCACGCTCAGCGTGCCCCGCGTCTTGGATACCCAACGTCCTGTGCATCCGGCGCCTGGACATCCACTTTTCTCTGTACCTGTGCCAGGAAACCCTCACACCCAGGTGGCCCGCGCCTAGGACACCCCACGTACGGATCCTCCGGCGTCTTGGAGACCCTCCATTCTGCTCATCTAACACTTGGGGCACCCTGACCTCAGACGTGGATAGCTCTGCTCACCTGTGCCCTCTACCCTCCTCCTGTGTCCACGTGTGTAGAGCTTCAGTGCTGACCGACTTGGGTGCTGCGTTCCTCCACCTTCCTCTGTCCCCGATCCTCTGAGTCCTCTACCTCAGAGCTGGCGCCCTCAGTCGTGGGTGTCTTGCTTCTTCGTGGTCCTTAGGTCCGTGTGCCAGAGGTGCAGGAATGGGGTGGAGGGGAGCAGATCCTTAGAACCCACGTGAGGGCAGCGCAGGGGTTGGGGTTGGTAATGAAACACATTCCTGGTCTCAGGAAAAATGCTCAGACCTCCACTGCCCACCAGGTACCCCCAGCCCAGATTTACCTAGAGCCCACTCGGCCAGCATGTAAGAGAGGGGCTTCTCATGCAGTTAGTGTATTCATTCCTTCCGTTTACTCCTCAAACACAGAGGATCCCTTACAGCCTTTAGTGGCTGGGGGCTAGATGTTGAGAATGCCCTAGCGTCTTGCCAGTAAGACTGGAGTTCCTCTCAGGGGCATTCCTGTTCAGTGGGTAAGGCAGGCACAGAAAGCATAATGGAAATAGCCCTGAAAAGTGAGCAGGGTGCTAGGGGAATGGATGGTGAACTGTCCAAGCCTTGAGGGGTGGGTGGGATGGAGTTCTGTGTGCCCCTGGCTCTCCTGGAGGCTTCCCGGAGCCCCATCCTGTCCCATGTACCTCCGCTCAAGTGAAAAGGCAGGTAAAGAGGTCTCAGAATTGAGCTGGGAGGATATGTGTGGGTGGGGATTAATTCCAACTGCTGTCATTGGCGGGGGCAAGGCAATGCATTCAGTCACCAAGCATGTGTTGAGCACCTACTGTGCACCCTGCATTGTACTAGCTTCTGGGAACACAGCAGTGAATAAGGCAGACAGGTTTCTCTGTTCTTGGGGCTGACATTCTAATCAGAAAGATAGACGAGAAACCAGACAATTAAAAGGTATAGGGTGTTAGAGGATGATCAGTGCTATGGAAGAAAGTTAAGGAAGACACAGAACATGGTGATGGCTGCAGTTTTAGATAGAGGAGGTCAGGGAAGAGCTCACTAAGAAGGTGGTATTTGGATAAAGACTTAAAATGAGTCCTGGGGAGATTGGGGGTGGTGGGGAAGGGGGTTCCAGGCAGAGAGAACAGCCCGTGTAAAGGTCCTGAGGTGGAAACATGCTGGGTGTTCAAAGGATCAATGAGAGGGCCTGTGTGGCTGGGGGGAGGGAGTGAGGGCAAAAGGAGAGAGAGGTGAGGGTAGGGAGGTAGTGGGCTAGATCGTGCTGGCCTGATGTGCTTCAGGGAGAATTGGTTTTTAATCGGAGTCAACTGGGAGCAATGGAAGGTTCTAGGCAGAGGAGGGTTTCCCCCTGACTTATATGTTCTCAGGAACCCTCTGGCTGTGGGAAGATTTGAGAGGGAGCCAGGAGACTGGGGAGATGGATTCCACAGTCAGTCCAGGTGAGAGGTGATGGAGGCCTGGAACAGGGTGCTGGGGAGAAAGGGTCGGATTTGAGGCACAGCCTGGGGACAGAGCCAATAGAACACCTTAGTCTTTGCATCCCCCTCCCCCAGCAGAACTTCTCAAATGTCACCTCTGGATCACACTGCGAACGCTTCACCTTCCCCACTCCCAAGAAGCAAGAGTCCAGGAAGCC